ACAGATGTACATACATGTACGTTACCGTTTTTTTTGTTTCATTTTCTTTAAAATATACTTTATTCTTTTTCACGACTAGAGTTAATCAAAAACGTTAGATTTTTGGGGTATTTGTTGTAAAATCGGTAATTTTTTTATTTGAATATAATCAGACAATTTTTTTTTAATTTTTACGAATATCTTGTTTTGCATTACCTAAACTTGTAAAAATAAAAAAAAAACACATGTATTCTAAAAATCGATCGATTTATTGCACCTTTCAACATTTAATTATAAAAAATCTATTCAAGTAGATTTTTAATAAAATAATAGGATTTCTTGGGAAGGGGACTTTGAGTAAATTCCTGGCGGTAATTAAAGAGATTTCCGAACTTCAAAGCTTTTATCCCATTTTATGGGATCCGACGAGAAATATTTTCGCTTATTCATCTTTGATACTAATTTTATTAGAGAGTTTGGAGATTAGAAACAAACAAGGTTTCGAGAGGCTGATTCCGAGCAATCAATTAAGCTTCTGTTATATTAATCTTAAATTAGAAAGCATTCATTTTCAATTTTGCATAATTAAATTTTCATTCTTTTATTAGTTTTAAATGACCTCAATCACAGGTTCGATTCTCATAGCCATATGTTTGAAAATCTGTAGCTAGTATAGAGAAATACAAAATCGATTCGGTTACTTTTTTGCATCAATGTAAAACAAAGCACTTCATAATTGCAGACTTTTACTAAGAAATTCTTGACAATTTTTTTTATTAGGTTTTGGCTATACCTGAGACTAAAACTCTGAACCTGAGATTCCAACCCGCTCTGTGAGCCAATAAAAAATTTAATTACTCATTAAATTGATTGTTTTATGCAAAGTCCACTATTCCTAATAACACTTCCCGAAACACAATAGTGTTGTGACGGAGTTTTGTTTCTTCTCTGTATCGATGAGTCTATTCTCATAATGGCAGCTTGCCAGCGCTACACGTTATTTAGTATCAACTTTAATTAAAATTCTCGTGTTTTTAACGATATCTAATGTCAATTGCAATAGCTTTCTCAATATTGTGATGTAATTCAGTATGTCTGTACTACTGTAAAGTCAATTTAGTTTAAGTCAGACTTGAATTGTTCTTATATAAGTATACTAGCGACTCACCCTCGCTCCGCTCGGGTACGCCCCTAGTTTTAACGATTTAAGATTTAGTATAGATTTTTCAGAGATGAAATGTTTTCCCGCAGTTAAAAGTAATCTATGTGTTGACCCGGATAACTAGCTATCATCGTACCAAATTTCATCAAAATCTGTCAAGTGGTTTTTTCGTGATGCGTTCCCAGACAGACAGAGAAAAATTCTAAAAACTATAGATTCGGCCTTTGTATCGATAATGAAAATAATGACTATTTCAATAAGATTTTCCAAAAAATATTTTATATACAGATTTGACAAAAGATTCTATTATATGTGTAGAATATAGATAGAATCTAAAATTATTTCAAAATTCTTAGATTTATATGAATATTTGACTTGATTTTAAATAAAACTATTTTTTTGGGATTTTGAATGACATCAACAAAGGGTCGTTTCAAACGTCTATATATATTTTTTTACAAACAGCTGTCTGTCTAAATAAAATCCAAAAATATTTTATTTAAAATGTTTTCAAAATATCAGAAACAATAATTTTCGACCTTTATATTTACTATATATTACACATATTAGCTTTTTATAACCTTACACGTAGCTTTATGATGGAGTGATAATATATAATAACAATAACAATTCAGCCCTTTTAACGGCCACTGCTGGGCACTAATTCCCCTCATGTAAGAACGATAAGGCCATATTCCACCACGCTGACCGAGTGCGGGTTGACTAGGGCTCCAAAAATCTTTCAGGATCAATTTATGATCTATTAAACAAGCAGTTTTTCTCTACCGTATTAGCAAATGATTATTTATAGTAAAAATAATAAACATAAACTTCTCAGAGGCGTGAGATTAAGGTTTGAACCTGCAATTTAGCAAGCAAGACCGTTACTAATGCACTACAACTACTTAGTGTGATATAAACTGACGATGTAGTTGAATAAATCGAAACAACATTTAACATGCAATACACATACTTAAATATTAATCTACATGAAGTGCTAGTAATTATGAAGCCTCTTCGGGTAATTTTTATCGCATTCGAATGGGTTTATAAATATAGGTATGAGTTATAAGATATACTTATATCATTTTTATATATAAATGAATTTATATTATTATATTTATAGGTACTTCTTTTGGCACGTTTGGAAAAGAATATGAGAGAATTTTTTTTTACGATGCGCGCGCACACCGACAGCCAAAAAGCGACATGATGAAGTTGTATTCCTTTTACAAACAGATAGTTGTAACATACGGGATGAAATCTTTAGCTATTTTTGTTCTATTGCAAAGAAGTATAATTTTTACGTGCGTACATAAGTACACACACGTTTTTTTTTTAAATTGCTATACTTAAAAAAGTTAAAAGGCGCTTTAAGGGAACTAGAGATATAAAGCCTAAAACTCATTTTCTATGCAAGAATAAATACATTAAATTTATTATGCAAAAGTTTGTATATATTCGTGTATGTACGTATGTGTATATTCTTGTTACTTCAAGCTGAAATGACTGAACGGATTTGGAAGAAATTAAATAGACATAGAGCAAAAAGAGGCTACAGTAGGTAATAAAGTTTCGCCTGTCTGCGAGTCCAGGGTAGGATGGTGGAGGTTCGGGCCCATATGCGCTACTTGGGCCTGACCCTGGACGGACGCTGGACGTTTCGTGTCCATTTCGCCCAGCTCACCCCGAGACTGATCGGCGCCGCCTCGGCCCTCGGCAGACTTCTGCCGAATGTCGGGGGCCCTGGATCTCACTGCCGGCGGCTCTATGCCGGCATCGTGAGGTCCATGGCACTGTACGGTGCTCCCGTTTGGATGGACGCCCTCTCCGCACAGAACAGGGCCCAACTGCGCAAGGCGCAACGGGTCCTGGCGGTGAGGGCGATACGGGGATACCGTACGGTGTCCTTCACGGCGGCGACACTTCTGGCGGGCGATCCGCCCTGGGAACTCCAGGCGGAGGTGCTCGCCGAAGTCTATCGGTTTCGGGCGAGTGAGCGGGCGCGAGGGGAACGTCCAGCGCGGGAGGGAGTCGCTCGGATCAGGCGCCTAGCTGACGAGGCACTGATCCGGCGCTGGTGGGAAGACCTGGGGACTCCAGCGGCTGGCCGGGCGACGGTGGGGGCGGTTCGTCCGTTCCTGTCTCGCTGGGTCAGGCGGCCACACGGCGTCCTGACGTTCAGGTTGACGCAGATGCTTACCGGACACGGGTGCTTTGGTAAGTATCTGTGTCAAATTGCGCGTCGGGAACCGTTGCCCGTATGCCACGAGTGTGGTGCGTCCGAGGACACCTCGCACCACACCCTCGCGGTATGCGCCGCTTGGGCTCCCCAGCGCCATGCCCTGATGGCGGTAGTGGGTGGAGACCTGTCGTTGCGAAGCGTGGTGGGGGCCATGCTACGCGACGAGAGGTCCTGGTCGGCGATGGTCTCCTTCAGCGAGGCCGTCATCTCACTGAAGGAGACGGCGGAGAGGGAACGCGAGGCTAACGCCTTAGCAGACCCTCTTCGTCGCCGTCGGCTGGGGGAGAGGAGGCGCCGGTACGCGCATCTTCTCCCGCCACCCTAGAGGAGCTACTGCGGGGGGGTCTCTCGTTGACTCCCCTGCACGTCATCGGGGCGGTTGGGATGCCCTGCGAACCGAGGGCATCCTGATTTAGGCGAGGCAGGCCCGCGGGGTACGGGCCGTCCGCAGGGGTGTTGCAGTGAATGCGCAAGCGATCCTGCACACCCCATTGCACTGCGGCGACGGGTTCCGCTGTGGGTTTTAGTGAGTAGGAGTCTCACAGTACCCTACCCATTGACGGCCGGTAGGGTCCCCATGATAGGTTTCCCCAGCGATAACAAAAAAAAAAAAAAAAAAAAAAAAAAAAGGTAATAAAGTTTGGCCAAAAGCTGGCGTGTACAAATACAAAAAGCAATTACGGATACATTCGAGCGAAGCGAAGCTAAGTCGCTGGTTGATGATAATAATAGGCAACGCATATCAGACTTATTAAATTATTCCACAATTTTCTAAAATTATTTAAAAAAATATACTTTGAACAGGCGAAAGGTATAGAAATACCAAACGATCGTGCAGTATAAAAACTATGAATCATATAATTAGAAATTTTTATCGTCTGTTCAAAGTGCTTAATAAAACCCAGTAATAAAAATTAAATATGAAAATAAAGCATGAAAGTATTTTAAGCGGCACTTTTTTGCACTATGACTGAGTACCGTGATTAATTTTAAAACATTCAACGCTTTACAATATTTTAATTTGACTAAGATGAGTTTGGTATTCGTGTATTCTTGAAGCAAACGTCAATTTACTAAATGACTAGCTGTTATCCTCCCGTATAAGTATTTAATGATTATTTTCAGCCGCATTGACATTAGAAAACAAAGTATGAACCATAAATAAACGGAGTACAGATACTTTACATAATAATAAATATTTGGCTATAATTTTAATTATTATTTGTAATTGTGACATTATCTATTAATTACAAAATATTATGGTGTTCATGCCTAATATTTTTTTATTACATTTATGAGTTTTCAAGATTTTAAAAGAGAGCTCGCTAGTTCAGACTAATCACAGAGAATACAATAATATCTGTGATATTAATAGAATGTGAGAATATTTGCTGCTGTCACGTTGACGCGAATTGATATATATTTTTATATGGACACTGCTGGAGGGCTGCTGAGGCAAATAAGCTTTATAGCGAAAAAATCTATATAATACAATTAACATTACACACGCTGTGTTGCGTTTGATACGGTTTTCTGTATAGTTCTAAGTCTCGAGAGTGATGCAGGTACGCTTACTTAGTACCTAACTGTATTTATGACAAACTAGGTACTTACCGTAAATTTTAGACCACTGAGCAGGCGGCCTCCAGTCCGGGTAATGCTTAGGAAACTTCTCCCTCGTCCAATAGGTGTGTAGCACCATTCTGTAAACGGTCATCTTATCCGGATTGCACGTATCCGAGTCAGACGATAAAGCCGCCGCGACTAGCGGCAGCAACATCAGTACAAACCTTGCCATTTTATCGTAAGCTATGATCTACACTATCCCGCTTTCATAATGACGATTTTGAGCCTGAAACAAAAATAAAGTTTTAATTGTTGTTGATGTTAATTATTTAAATCTAATCTCGAGATAATCTATGATTTATGGCATTTTTAATTTTAACGGCCGTTGGTTTTATTAGCTTAATATTAAATTTGGTTACCTAGATATATGTACGGATGTTTTTAGATTCAATGTACAACTTGAATGCAGTAGGTTATTTTTAATCCGATATGAGTTTACCGTAAGAAATTATAACAGCTTTAATTGAAAAAAATGGAAAAAAGCTATAAAATATATAATGATAAAAAGACCCTGAACACAAGCGAAGCGAGTGGTAAAAGTCTCCAGTATAATATACTTTTTTTTATTTAACTTCATTAAAAATAACTATAACCCGATTTCAGTTTCAGTATCTTTACCATAAATTTATATGTATTATGTTGTTCCTTTACAATAAGGAAATGTTATTTTTATAAATGTAATCCAAAACTAGAATACGTCTTGGGTGTGCTATAAATATTTTGTATCGAAAGCAGTGAATGAGTTCGTTAGTCAAATATCACAGTAGTGGGGTCAACGTTCTAATCTATTTCGGTCCCTTTGAGGTGCAAACCGTTTGAATCAACATTGTCAGCTGAAGCTCATCCGCATCTGTGAAGGATCCTGTCCTCTGTCAGACGTTAAACGATATTTAGTATCTCAATGACAATTTCATTTTAGAATTCTCATTAGTATTAACATTGTCAAAGATTTTCTTGTTTTTATGTAGGATATTTGATATTATTACTTTGACATTTGAAAAAATCTTTATAAGTACATATATAAAATTTGGTATTTATCTGTGAATCAGGTCATGTGGATAAATATATATCTGTTTGGGCACGTTTATCTCCGAAACAGTTGAAATAATTATAATAAAACTTTCCGGTGAATACATAATTTTATGTAAGAAATATGTATGACTATAAAATACTTTTAATCACGGGGATGAAAAGGTGACGACACGTTTGGCATTGTTTGTTCGTAGAAGTACTTGCTGTGCCAGCGGTCGCGGATTCGAGTCCCGCTGGAGGCATTCATTTGTGTGATGAGGACTAAAGTTTGTACTCCAGTCATGGGTGTTTATATTTATAATATGTACCTATATATTTAAAGTTATATAATATTATTATGTAGTGTTTCAAGTATCTGGTATTTATAACACAGACCACGTAGCATAACATGGAACTAGATGGTGCTGTGTGTTCATGTCTTATTACATGTTTATTTCTAAAAAAACACCAATATTTTCTTAATGTTGTTTAAAGTAGCTATATAAATAAAGTTGAAGTAAAATTTTCTTTAAGTGATATTCAAGAGTGATTTATGTCCTTATTATAAAAAATATCATTAGATTTCAAAGCTTTTTTTAGTTAGTAGCTTTTAAAAGTTTACCAGCCAAAGTACAAATATTTAATGTGAAACCAAATTTCCTAAAATATATGTAAACAATTGTTCATCTGATAACCCTTCGTATTTCGAGTATAAACTGAACCCCATTTATGGATCGGAGATCATCAATTATTTCTCCGACCCCAGATCTGTCATTGAAAGGATGATGAACGAATTTTTATTTATGTGAATATTTTATAACTTCGCACTTTATGTGAAATTATATATATATATATATATAAATATAATTCTTGCTTTATTTATATGAACATGAACTTATTTTGAAGTAATTTTTGACTTTAGAATTCCTTTTTTTATAAAGGAACACGGAGTTAACATATACTATCGTTTAATATTGTATTATCGGTTTTAAATATGTTGGGATATTAACACACAGCACCATCTAGTTCCATGATAAGCTACGGGGCTTGTGTTATGGAAACCAGATAGTCGATACACTATACATATATATAACTTTAAATACATAAATATTATAAATATAAACACCCATAACTGGAGTACGAAATATCGCGCTCATCACACAAATGAATGACCCCAGCTGGACTCGAACCCGCGACCGCTGGCACAACAAGTACTACTACTAACAAAGTGAGCCAAACGTGACATCAACACTAGTCGTCAATACACAGGATTGGCTAATTATTGTACTTTAACAACTACTAAGGTACAAATATTATTTTTTTTTGAAAATTGAACTCATGGCTGATTATTTACTAAGAATTAAGAAATTCTAAAACAATCAACTCTTACTATATTACTTTCAATGTCATTGTTTTACCCTAAAAGATTGATACTGAGGATCAGAAAAGAATATTAAGAAAAAAACGATCTTTAAAATCGATCTATAATAATTTAAAAAGATATTGCATAACATACACAAAACATACTATGAATTGTATAAAACCTTTAGAAGTCGGTCAAAAATATTTCTGAAGTAGATGAAAATTTACACATATTACGGTAAAGTATTACGTTAAGTACGGATTTGTTTAGTAATACTCGTACATGTGTTCAACTTTTAGCAAACTTCTCTAAGCGTGTAAGCATCTGTTGTTTACAAGGTTTTATTTTGCGTGAATAAATTAGAACAAATTTTAAGTTTAATAAGAAATTTATGGTAGCGACACATTTTCGCTTGCATTTGAATGACACTACCTATAAGCTTTCCTTATTGAACCCGCAAATGAAACAATCTAGGAAAATTTACGGACAGGTACATATATGCATGTATTAGATTTATTATATTTCATAGATATTTCATAGATACTAATAAGTTTAATTTTAGTGCGAATAGAGAGAAATATTATGAAGTACAGATGTTTTCGCAAACTCAGTTTCATTTTTCAGTCTTTACTCTTACTGCCTAACGAGACGGCAGTCTTATGAGAATAGCTTTCGACTCATTCTTTTCTATATTTTATAATCTACCTATTTCACCTATGTATGCATGAAAGTAACTAACAATGTAAGAAATAAAGAAAATTTTCATGATTATTTTTCTGTTATAATATACTCAAATGACCTGTAAAAACTGTAACATGTGAAATAAAATAAATATGTATAATCAAGCAGAATAATTATTTATGTATTTGTCAAAGTTTAGTTAAAAAATATATATTACTAGCGACTCACCCTCGCTTTCCTCGGGTTCTTCGCTAGGTACGTTTTAGCGGTTAGTGATTCCCATACAAAATAAATCTCAAAACTTTGCGAATTTCCAGCATTTTTTTTGAATTTACCCTATTTTTTTATTTTTAAATCACCCCTAACACACCCCCAACAAAACAAAAATACAATTATTCAAATCGGTCCAGCCGTTTTTGTGTTTTAGCGAGACTAACGAAGAGCAATTGATTTTTATTTATATATAGATGTATAGTAATGAAACCATAGAACTTTGATAAGTTCATATGTAGAGAAACAGTTCAATTTTTGAAGAGCATTGAACGTTAATAATCGTGAAGCGAATTTTACGATCTATCTTTGTAAGAAGCAAATGGTTTATTTACTTAAAAGTATTGTAAGAAATAATCACTCATAGTAATTTCCAAGAAAATATATTAAAAGCTAATTTGAAAAAGAAAATTTCAGTTTACTTGTATTGTATTGTATATTGGACTCGTTTTCCGTACTTAGACTCTTCAGTTTACTTATACATTATCCTAACTAAAAATTATTAATAATGCGAAAGTCTGTACATCTATACATACCTATAATAAAATTGTAACTAATCTGTACATTAAATATTTTTTGGAAAATTTTATTGAAATAAACATTATTATCGATACAGAGGCCGAATCTATCGCTTTTAGAATTTTTGTCTGTCTGTCTGTTACCTCATCACAGAAAAACTGCTGAAGGGATTTTGATGAAATTTAGTATGGTGTTAGCTGGTTATCCGGGTCAACATATTGGATACATTTTACCGCGGGAAAATGTCTCATTTCTGAGAAAAAATACAAAAACTGCAATGTATACTAACATGTAAAACCTAAGAATTTAGTTTTTGGTCATTTGAACGTGGGTGGAGTCGTGGGCAATGCTAGTAATATATATATTATGTTAATGTGATATCTGTACTTTTCTAATAAAGCAAACGTAGACCCCTACTTGTTTTTTTTATGTTGGAAAAAGTTTGTGAGCCTGAGAGTGACTTCTTTTTATAACGTTACATCCAAAAACTTCCGTGAGGTAATGGGAAAAAGTAAATGAAAGTCCCGCGGGATGAATGTAAAATATACATAATATATATGTAAGTATGTATATTATGTCTTGGGACAACCACTACTATGCGATACAACATGAATACGAAAATTTTATCAGTATACATGATCTAAAAAATACGACAGGTATAGCAAAAAAGAATTCCAAACGAAGCTCGGTCGCCCAGTACCTACTTGTACGTAAATTAAGGTAAATTGACATAAACATTTGTGATAAAAATATTTTGTGACTGTATAGTGTACAGTTAATGAAATAATGGGTTTAGTATTTAAACAAATTCATTTGAACCAAATATTTATTAATACAATTGATGTAAGTAAAGCATAATAATATTTATTAATGTCTTCCCGAGAGACACGAGTTAATAATTTGTATAGAAGAATCGGTATTAACGTAAACATCGAGCGATGAGTTAACCATTATTATCGTAATAAACCGTTTTTTAAACCGGTTCCGAGTCCTGGTTAAAACCACTTCATTTTGTACCATATATTTTAATTTCAATAATTATTTTTACACAAAAATTTCCAAAAACATTCTAAAACACTTTAGATTAGAAATATCTAAATAAAGATCAAAGAAGATTAGTAAAAAATTACACGTATAAAAAAAAAACGTACATCACCAAGCTCTTATAACGCTTGGACATTTTAAAAACCAATTATAATCACCATCCCTTAATAATGTTGTCACTTAGAGTCACCTTCAGATATCATTCCATTGTTTTTATTATAAGGCACAATTTAATGCCGGACACGTACAGTGTCCAATGGGAGAAACGTCAGCTGACGTAGGTC